GTGTATGTGCGTTAAAACAAAACTAATATTTTTGTTTATTTTATATAATTTTAATACCCTCATACATTTTGTTTTAAAATTGTTAAAAAATTTTATTATACCCTACACCACTTCATTGGGGAGGGTATATTGGGTTTGTGCTGATGTTTGTAACGCACAATAATATTGGTCCTATACCTACCTTAAAGTATACCAATCGGCTCAGAATAATTTTCTGAGTCGATTTAGCTATGTCCGTCCGTCTGTCCGTCCGTCCGTCCATGTCAACCTTGTAATCAAACTACAGGTCGCAATTTTGAAGATAATTCAATGAAATTTGGTACATGATCTTCTATTGTAACAGGGACGAGGCCTACTGAAAATGGTTAAGATCGTTCCATTATTTCACCTAGCCCCCGTACAACTGAACCCCCCAATAGGGCTTGTAAAGTTTGTAATCAAACTACAAGTCTCAATTTTGGAGATAATTCAATGAAATTTGGCACATGATCTTTTATGGTACCGTAGACGAAGCCTATTGAAAATGGTTAAAATCGGTCCATTATTTCACCTAGCCCCATACAACTGAACCCCCGAATAGGGCTTTTAAACTTTGTAATCAAACTACTGGTCGCAATTTTGAAGATAATTCAATGAAATTTGGCACATGATCTTTTATTGTACCGTAGACAAAGTCTATTGAAAATGGTTAATATCGGTCCATTATTTCACCTAGCCTCCATACGACTGAACCCCCCGAATAGGGATTTCAAACTTTGAAATCAAACTACAGGTCGCAATTTTGGAGATAATTCAATGAAATTTGGCACATGATCTTTTATAGTACCGTAGACAAAGTCTATTGAAAATGGTTAATATCGGTCTATTATTTCACCCAGCCCCCATACGACTGAACCCCCCGAATAGGGCTTTTAAACTTTGAAATCAAACTACAGGTCGCAATTTTGGAGATAATTCAATGAAATTTGGCATATGATCTTTTATGGTACCGTAAACGAAGCCTGTTGAAAATGGTTTACATCGGTTCATTATTTCACCTAGCCCCCATACAACTGAACCCGCCGAATAGGGCTTTTAAGTTCATAATTATGTTTAATATACTCATATCTCGACAAAAAGCTGCAAAAACCAAGTTCTATACAAGATTTGATGACCCTCACGAATTCCATAATAATAGGTCCTCATATGACCCTAGCCCCTATGAAAAGCCCCTATCAAAATTTCACTTAAATGTCCCCAATTTTATTCAACAATAAACGTCTTAAATATGTATATCTGAGGCGAGGTACAATTCAATTTAAATGCTTTATTATGGCAAATAAATCACTTTATATTTTTGTCAAAGGTGTAGGGTATTATGTGGTCGGCCTCGCCCGATTATAATTTCTTACTTGTTTTTTATTATGTATGTATATATTTTTAAGAAATTAGTTTAAAAAAAATCGTTTTTTTTTACCCTATACTTAGTGAGGAGTGTATAATGAGTTTATGCTGATGTTTATAACACACAAAAATATTGGTGCTACATCAACCTAAAAGAATATTGATCGACTCAGAAACAGTTTCTGATTGGATTAAGCCATGTCCTTCCATCCATCTGTCCGGCTAACTGGCTGTCTATGTAAAGCCGAAATTTTCAAGATATTGTGATTGTATATATTTAAGATTCTAAAGACGGAGATTGTTAAAAATGGTTAAAATCGTCTAGCCATCATACTACCATATCTTCCGATATGGTCCTCTTAGCTCATAATAACGTAAAATATATACATGAGTATATCTTCCAAAATCATAACCATTAATATCGCTACAAAAATTTAGCATAGCTAACGTTTATATAACCATTTTTTATGATTTTAAGTGACCATGTTATTTTGACTTACCCAAAATAACATGGTCACTGGGAACCTTTAAACACTAAGTAAACATTTAATTTCCAATGCAATGTTGAAAAGTTTTAAAGGTCTTCACCAGGGTATAAACGTTCCGAGTATTAGAAGGTCCCCACCAAGGTATAAACTTTTGAGTTACGCAATTCCGCCGAAAGGCAGACAACAAACACAAGCCTGACGATCCTTAAAAAATAAAAGCAATGACGCGAGAGTTGTTCTTCAACTTAACAATAATTATCTGCCAAAAATATTATTTTTGCTCCTTTGAATTTATGTGCTCTTGAATCGGTATTAGAACATTTCCAGCAAGTAGAAGTTTTATGCAATATCCATATTAAATAATCTGAACTTGGGCCGTGATGCTGGTCTTGATAATTATTTTGAAATTTTGTATCCTTAGGTGAACGTAGTAGTGACGTATCATTTAAATAAGAAAAACGATATAATTTGTTGGATTTGTATAGAATTTGTTTTATAATCAAATTATTTTATATACAAATCTCGATATTTTATCAACTTAAATTTTTTCCAAAATTTGAATTTCCTAGATCCTGAATTTTTTCCGGTTTTGTAGCCTTAAATTTTGGAAGGAGTTAGGTGAAACAGAGGTTCATGTAAATATAATATATATTTTGTTGTATATAATTTATGTATAATTTCAAATATAACTCTTATTTTCGGTGTGAGATCGATTTTTTGTTGTAAATGTTAAAACTAAAACTCATGTTTTCACGAAAAGAAACATATTAGACTCTACTGTCTGAATCTGGTTTCATTTTTCAATTCCCTTGTTTTGTTTAAAAGTTATTTTAAAAATTCTAAAATATAATTAATGGTATACGCACAATTGGGACGAACGACGAATTTCGTATAGCACGACGAACTAGTCGACAAAAATTCGTTGCGTAAATTCGTCAAATGGAACACAATCAAATTATTCGTACTGGGAATTCGTTTCAAAATTTGTTTGTTCGAAATTGGAAAAAGTAAGAAAAAGGAACAAAAATTATATTTTTGTGAATCTCCACGATTTTGAGATAATTTAAACAGCTTTAAAATTTATTCGAACATTATTTCGAAATTAGAAAATGTAAGAAATTGGCCTCGAAATGAACTAAAATTATATTTTTGTGAATATTTTGTGAATATTTATTATTTTAACAGCTTCAAAATTTTTTCGAACATTACTTCGAATTTTCGAACTTAATTTTAAATATTCCAAATATTCAAGTGTACTCCAGACTGCCAAATTTCAGACAATTTCGAATTTTCGAAAATTTTATTTTTAGTTTTTATGACCCAGAGATTATTTTAGGAGCATAAAAAATTTTTCGAACATAACTTCGAATTTTCGAATATAATTTCGAATATTCAAACATAATATTGTATTGTCGTTATCTGTACTCACAACCGCCAAATTTCAGCAAATTCGGGCTACCGGCATTGGTTTTAAAACAATTTTCCCCAAATAATTCGTCGTTCGTCTGCGTAAGAAATAGAAATGAACCTATCGCATAGTTCGTTACGTACGACGAATTTCGTCATACGCAATGATTGTGTACATTTTCATATACCCAAGTGTGTTCTATTTCTGACGACGAATATTCGTTCCGAAAAATTCGTCGTTCCTCCCAATTGTGCGTATCCTATAAACGCTCAAAGCAATTTTTCTCGAAACGACTTTTTTTATACCCACCATCAAAAAAGATTTTGTCATTCCGTTTATAACACATCGAAATATTGATCATAGACCCACAAAAGTATATATATTTTGAGTCTTTATTAAATTCTAAGACGATCTGGCCATGTCTGTCCGTCCGTCCGTCTGTCTGTTGAAAGCACAATAGAATTCGAACGGAAAGAGCTAGAAGTTGAAATTTTCTACAAATATTTTTTATAGTAAGGTTTGTTGGGTATTGAAAATGGGAAATATCGTTCCACTTTATCGCATAGACCCCATACAAGTAGCCCCCAGAAAACAGTTTTAACAGTCATAATTGCTTAAAAAGTGGTTTCATTTCAAAAAAAAATTTCGTTTTCTATTTTTGATGATGAAAAATTAAATTTCGGTCGAATTCTATGACATGCCTAAATATCGCTTATCTGTAAGAGATATTGACCTAGTTGTTTTACTATTTTATTATCTTAAATAATGTTCATTAGGTTAGGTTAGTTTCATAGGACGATATATTATACTACATAAAATGTGCGCTCCTTTTCATTAAAAAAAATGTTCACTTGTCAATATTCTAGAGATTTGAATTTTAGATGACATAAGGATGATAGATAATCGATAAACGAAAATAAAATTTGATAATGTGATTACTCGGTTTTCAAATTATTCGGTATTGGCAGATGTGTCCCTATGTCGAGTGATCCCCCCTCTGTTCAACATATAAAACTGTAAATGTTTTGAATTACATGTAAAGCATTTGTTTATAAACACATATAACAACTGCCATTAAAATATGCAGTTCAATTATTTATAAACTCTTTCATACTTCATAACAACCATTAGTGACATAACCCACCCCGCCCCCCTTTTTACACACCGGCACACACTTGGCAAATTGCTGAGTGGTGAGAATAAAAGGTTTGTTTACAATGCAATTAACTAACATATGAGTTCAAACACATTTCCGTTTTAGTCATATACAGTATATCCGGTTTCGATGAAGGATACATAAATTTAATTGACAAACAAGATAACAATGTAGAATGCAAAAAAAAAATATATATATATGAATATGCAAACGTTATAATAAATAAATGAATTGTATTGTAAAAACATATAAATCTAATTAAATGTATGTCAGTAAATGTTAAAAAATAAATGGTAAAATGTTGTAAAAACTAATAACATTTTACATAAATGGATTAATATTAGTTTTAAAGGCATATCACAGGTTGCTATTACATATGTATATGTATAGGAAATAATTTTGATGGAAAATGTTTTTAATTAACAAAATATTTGTTTAAGTTTTAAACTATTAAAATATAGATTTATTAAATTTGTAATTAATGTTTTAGGTTAAACTGTGACATGCCTAAATATTGTAAATGTTTTTTGCAAATACATAGAAATAATTGTTAAAACATATTTACCTTTTAGTGAGAAAAAGTTTTGTTAGATGATGTTGTTGTTTTATTATATTGTTGTTGTGGTTGTTTTAATAACAACAAGCTGACATAGTTTATTTTTTTTTTTTGCTGTTTAATCCATTTCAAATAGTGGTTGCAGTTGGAAAAAGAGCTTATGGTTTATTTGTTTTGTTGTACTTTTTCTATAAATTTTTAATTATTTTATTTTTATAGATTTTCAACTATGTAGACAGAAATGAATTTGTATATGGAAAATATGTTTTTTTTTTTTTTTTTTTTTGTTATTTAAATTGATGGCCTTTATTATTGTTTACTAAAACTTTTAATTAAAATTGGTTGTGATTTTGTTTCTCGTTTTAATTTCAAAAGTTTTTATTTGTTTCTATTTTGTTTTGGTTTTTTTTGACGTTGACAGGTGTTGGTATTATAGAATCTGGCTGCCTGTTAGGGATTAGTTGGGTTTTTATTTTAAACTTTTTATGTCAATGTATGTGTTTTTATATATGTATGTTAGACCCTAAGATGGGTTTTGTTTTTGAATAATATTTAGTTAGAGGTTAATTATTAAATATTTTGTATATTTTATTTACACTTAAAGGGGACTTTCTTTTAAATATATGTAAGTATCTAAACTTTATGTTTATGTATTTTTGTTAATTTCACTATTTTTACTTTTTTTCTTATATTAAATTTTATATAACAATATTTTTGTTTTTATTTTTATGAAATATATGCTTTACTTTAAGTTTTCTTGCAACTTAATTTTCAATAATTTTCTTTATTTTTTTCCACTATTTCCATTTATTTTCATAACACACAGCTGATTCCTTTTGTTTGCTATTTTTAACAAATTTTCTTATACATATTTTATACAATCATCCATCCATTCATCATGTCAATCAAAATCCATTATAATTTGACTATGACTGTCAACATATTATGAATGTAAATGTATATTTTTCTCCAAAACACCAAACACTCTGACATACACACACAAAAAATGTATTTTATAAAAAAAACGTAAAAAAAATAAACAAAACACCACCACAATTTATAAGGAAACTGTTTAAATGATTTGTAAACCAGCCCTCCTCATGCCACACTACAAATAGTATGCAACATGACCTGTACTTCAAAATACACGCATATGTGTGAGAGTATTTTGACACCAGCTGTAAGTGGTAGAGATGATAAGTGCTAAATGGTTTTCATTTGAGTTGACATATGACAAGTTATGATTTGAAGAATATTTTTTTTTTTAATTTTGGTTTTTTAAATTTTCACAAACACAGACCACCCACAATCATTAAAGGGAATTAATATTTCTTTATTACTAATATTATTCAAACTTTTATTAAATTAAGTAATTTTTTCCCATTTAATTATTTTATTTTTTTTACTTGTTTTATTTAAATTTACAAATAATTTTAATTTTTTATATTTTTCTTTTAAATAATTTCATTCACTTCAATTTTTTTTATTCATTAATTTTTATGAAAAATTCTCTTCACTTTTGCAGCACACGACACAACATCGTGGTGTTGTGTATGAAAGACGCTAATAGACTAGATTTCAAATCATGCCGCACATATAACTGATTTTTTTTCCTCAACACAATTCCTTCTATAACCCCCAAACAAAACATGAAAGCATGTACTAAATGTTAAGGAAAATGTACTAAAAATATACACAAACCTTATGAACTAAAGCACATGATTTTATTAAAAGTCAGAGTAAAGAGAGCTAAAAACTGTTATACTAAAACCATTTTCCGGGTTTTTATTCATAACAACTTTTTAATATAGCTCTCTATTATATATAAGAAAACCATCACAACTCTCTTTTTGTTGTACTAAAACTCATCACATCGCTACTTTTGCTACTCATTTCATTTGTTTTTCTAAATTCTCATTAAATCATTCTCTATATATCTCTCATTATAATTTCATAGCTCCTTTTATGCGCTCTCTCTCTCTCTCTATTTATTGTTTGGTATAAAATTCACCACCTTTGTGTACATTTTCAAGGTTGTTGTGTTGTAGTTTTGTTTTTTATATTTAACACACCCAATTGGGTGTTTTCTCTATGCTCTATTTGTGTTTTAGGTTTCATTTTCACCAAAAAAGGTCACATGTATTTTATTCAGCTAAGTGTTGAAGTTGTGGGTGTAAGGATGTTTGTTTTTCCTTATCTGGTCTTAAAAGTATAAGAGAAATTTTTGTAATAGAGGTGAATATTAGTTAAATTGTCTATACCCAGTATTATGATAGTTTGAAATATACTTAAGTAGATAATATTATATAGAAAATTATACTAAAAACTAATTGATATAAAGAAACTTGTTTATTCTTAGGATTGAGATCGAAGTATAAGGGACTCAATATGTTCTTAAATATGCTTTTATGTTTGTAGATATACAAATTGAGATAAATATTTCTGGAATCATAACTGAAGATAAAAGTTGTTAGATCTTTTAATTTTTAATATACATAACTTTGTCATTCCGTGTGTAACACCAAAAAATATTCATCTGAGACCCAACAAAGGTCCTTATCAAATTCTGAGTCGCTTTAGCTATGTCCGACTGTCCGTCTGTCTGTGTAAAACACGCTCACGATAAAACAAAGCAGTAGAATTTAACCAAATTCACCCAAAATGTTTTTCATTTGCCTAAGTTGTTTGGTATTGAAAATGGGCAAAATCGGTTCACACCGGGAAAAGTTATGAATCAAAATTTAAAACAACCTCCAAAAAGATAACTATTTTTTACACATTCTGATGTAATTTTCTAAAAACCTATGCAAGGTAATTCTATGAAAATCACCACATATTCGTTCCTACACAAGATCTTGATCCCTACTAGAATCGGTCCACAATTTCATGTACCTCCCATACAAAAGTACATATTCCCGCAAAATGGGTTTTTTGTTAATAACTTCCGTCACAATGTTGATTATCTTCACAAATTAAAATCTTATGTCAATAGAATTCATTCAGTGAAAAAATTTTCTGGATCGGTCCATAATTGGACATAGCTCCCATACAAGGTCCCCTCCCCAAAATCACTTATACGCTCATAGCTCATTACTAATTTAAGATATCCATATAAAATTTGGCACAAGTATTACTCATATGCATAGAAATATTACTGTAAATTTTATTTTTCCATCGGTCCATAATTGGTCATAGCTCCCATACAAGGTCCCCTCCCGAAAATCACTTAAACGCACATAACTCATTACTTGATTAAGATATCCATATAAAATTTGGTACAAGTATTGCTCATATGCATAGAAATATTACTGTGAAAATTTTTTCGAACGGTCTACAATTGGTCATAGCTCCCATAAAAGGTCCCCTCTCGAAAATCACTTAAACGCGCATAACTCATTACTAAATTAAGATATCCATATAAAATTTGGTACAAATATTACTCATATGCATAGAAATATTACTGTGAACATTTTTTTCGATCGGTCCATAATTGGTCATAGCTCCCATACAAGGTTCCCTCCTGAAAATCACTTAAACGCACACAACTCATTACTAAATTAAGATATCCGTTAGGTGCAAGTATTCCTTATATGCACAGAAATATTACTATACAAAAATTCTATTTCAAGATTTTTTCACGATCGGTTCATAACATGAGTGCACTCGGTCTCATACTAGTTGCCCTTCTAAAGATCTTTTAAACACACATTACTTATTACTAAATTACGATATAGATTTTGGAACAAGTATTGCTCATATGCATAGAAATATTACTGTGAACATTTTTTTCGATCGGTCCATAATTGGTCATAGCTCCCATACAAGGTTCCCTCCTGAAAATCACATAAACGCACATAACTCATTACTAAATTAAGATATCCGTTAGGTTCAAGTATTCCTTATATGCACAGAAATATTACTATAAAATTGTTTTACGATCGGTCCATAATTGGTCATTGCTCCCATACAATGTCCTTTTACGAAAATCTCTTAAACGCACATTACTCATTACCAAATAAAGCTATTGATACAATATTTGGCACAAATATTAGTTTTGTATACAAAAATTCTATTTCAAGATTTTTTCACGATCGGTTCATAACATGAGTGCGCTCGGTCTCATACTAGGTGCCCTTCAGAAGATCACTTAAACACACATTACTTATTACTAAATTACGATATAGATACAAAATTTGACTGAAATATAGCTTTTATGTACAGAAATTTTGCTTAAAGAATTTTTTACGATCGGTCTATATCCGTATTTAACTAGCTTTAACCGTATTTAACTAGTTACATTATCAAATTATGTAGAACAAATTATATATATATTTTGAAAATCCTTAAATCTTTCACACACATGCAAATTACTAAATATTGCTAAGCTCTATAAAAATGTATAAAGAAAATGGCGTTTGTAATGTTCAATAAATCTTGGAATTGTAATAGATTTAAGCTGTAAATCTTGGGATTTTTCTATTTAAGACATGAGAAAACTTATTTCTACAAATATTTTATTAATTAGAAATGTATTTATATAAAAGTAGCTGGTGGAGGGTATTTAAGATTCGGCTCAGCCGAATATAGCACTCTAACTTGTTTGTCAACAAATTGTTAAAATTAATTAAGCCATGTCCGTCCGTCCATCTGTCTCTCCACGTAAACATTGTAATCAAACTACAGGTCGCAATTTTGAAGATAATAGGATGAAATTTGGTACACGCATTTCCTTTGAACCAATGACGAACTTTTTTGATTTTGGTTGATATTTCACCTAGCCCCCATATAATCGGACCCCTAAATTGGGATTTGGAGCTCATAATTATGCCAAATATACTAATATCCCTACAATGTTTTATAAAAGCATAAATGATATATTTAAAGCTAGTCCTCTTGCGTTAATTCCCTTATAAACATATGTATTTCAATGAAATTCGGTATAATTAACTTTCATCAACAATATATCGAAATTAAGGAAAAATTCAACGTTAATACTTTTTTAGTTAGAAATTTATATATTTCTTGTAAAAAATCCAAAATGTCTCCATCATTTCAATTTGAAGTTTAATAAACTACACTTAAAGTAAACGTGTGCTTACATCGCAATCAAAAACAATTTACCAAATCACATAAAACATTAAACATTTCACTAAATATTAATTATACGTATTCTACGTGTCTAAAATAATACTTAAACTACATAATAATACATACACATGTAATAATTTTGTATTCTGTTAATGTCTTTTTAAATTAAACAAAGAATTAACCAAAGCAATTAATAAAAAAAAATATATATATTAATCTGTCAAATGTCGAAGGATATTTTCTGAAAGCTCCCACACTCTAACTAATCAATTTTGTTTACAAATTATAACAAATAATGGTAATTGTTATACACACAATGTGATAATGTGTGTATAGCGGAAATGAAGAGAATTGTAAACTCTCAGAGAACTTACATGTATGTATAAAAACGCATGACCAACATGTAGATTTAAACATGTATGTAAGTGTATAAATGAATATAACTTTTAATTTACCACTTTATAGTAAATATTGTTTTTGTTTTGTATTTTTTTTTTT